GTGCAAAGCATTTCGGGATGCTGGGGGACTGTGAGTTAACTTGAATCTGGACGGGATCTAGGACAAAAGTTCAATAAACAAATTTAACCTAAATCAGTTAAAATTTCATAGATATTAGGGCTGGAAGGGACTCCGCAAGATCCTGTGTCCAGCCCCCTGCCCAAGGGGCAGAAAGTCTGCTGGGGTCAAATGATCCCAGCAAGATAAGCATCCAAGTGCATCTTAAAAACATCCATCTGGGAGGAGCCTATTCCAGACTCAGGGGACTCGGGACGGTAAAGAAGTTTTTTCTTATGTCCAGCCTAAAACCTTCTTCCCAGTTTGTGACTGTTAGATCTCATCTTCCCTCGGGCTGCCCTGGTGAACAGACATTCTCCCTGTTCCTGATGCATACCCCTCATATACTTATAGGCTGCCACCAAGTCCCCCCTGAGCCTTTGCTTTTTCAGGTTGAAGATGGCCACGCCTCTCAGCCTTTCCTCATAAGACCTGTTCTTTTGTCCCTGGATCATGCACGTGGCTCTCCTCAGGACACTCTCAAGCTTCTCCACATCCTTCCCAAAGTGCGGAGCCCAGAACTGAATGCAGTACTCCAGCTGCGGCCTCACCAAGGCCAAGTACAGTGGGAGGATGATATCCTGGGTCTTGCTTGAGGTGCATGGATAGATGCAAGCCAGAGTTTTGCTTGCTTTGCTGGCTGTGACATTGCATTGCTGCCTCATGTTTACCTTGTGTTCAGTCATGACCCCCAAGTCTCTTTCGGTCACAGTGCTAGTGAGTGGCCAAAGCTATAAGTATGATGCCAATGCCTTTTCCCCCCCAAGGTGAAGCACCTTGCATTTCTCAGTGTTGAATGCCATAAGGTTTTGATTTGTCCACCTTGTGAGCCTGCCCAGGTTGGCCTGAATCACCAGCCTATTTTCTAGTGTGACCACACTTCCCCACAGTTCGGTGTCATCCGTGAACTGAATCCAGATAGTTTATAAATATGTTAAAGAGTACTGGTCCAAGTACAGAGCCCTGGGGGATGCTACTAGTCACCATGTGCCATGTTGATGTGGTTCCATTGACTATTGCTCTCTGGGTCCAGCCACTGAGCCAGTTCCCCAGCCATCAAACAGTAAGGTTGTTGAGGCCACAATTCCCCAGTTTAGCCATGAGGATTTCACGGGAGACCAAGTCAAAGGCTTTTTTATAGTCCAAATAGATGATATCAACCTCTCTTCCTTTGTCCAGGTGATGCATTGCCTGGTTATAGAAGGAAATGAGGTTGGTCAGGCAGGGCCTACCTGCAACGAAGCCATGCTGGCCATCTTTCAGAATGCTGCATTGCATTAGCCTGTTGTTGATCATTTCTTCGATGCTTTTTTCCAGTATCTTTTCAGGGACTGAGGTCAAATTGACTGGTCTGTAGTTCCCTGGATCTTCCTTCCTCCCTTTCTTGAAGGTAGGCACCACGTTGGCCCTCTTCCAATCCTCAGGAACCTCACCCAAACACTACGAGTTCTCAGATATCCTCGCCATTGTCTGAGCTATGATGTCAGCCAGCTCTTTTAGCACTCTTGGGTGCATTCCATCTGGACCAGCTGCTTTGTGGATGTCCAGCCTCTCAAGGTGTCCCCTCACAAGACCTTTGCCAATGATGGGTGTGTGTGTTCTCTCCATACCCTGGCAATCCTGCTTCTTGTTTGGCAGGGTGATCCCATTGGGCTGGTGGAAGACTGATGCAAAGCAATCATTAAGGAGATTAGCTTTTTCCTGGGTGTCGGTTGTCAGCTATGCAGCATTTAGTTTAGCAAGAGTCCAATGAAGCCCTCGTTTTTCTTCTGACTACCCACGTAGCAGAAGGAGGACTTTTTGTTGTCCTTGATTCCTGTAGCCAATTTGAGTTTGGCTTTGGCCTTGGCTTTCCTAGTTTGCTCTCTACAGGTGTGAGCCAGTACTGGATAATCCTCCTTGGTGATGTTACCCAACTTCCAACCCTTGTAGGCTTCTCTTTTCAGATACAGGAGGTCCATAAGTTCTCTATTTAGCCACAGGGGGCACCCAGCTTGTTGTTACCTTTCCTACAGGCTGGGATGGACTTCCCTTGTGCTTCAAGGATCACATCCTTAAGGAGCAACCCTTCCTCATGGACTCCCCTCTCTGTTAGATTCTGGTTTCTCAGGGCCTTGGCTACCAGCCTCCTGAGCTTATGAAAGTTGGCTTTCCTAAAAATCAAGGATTTCTGCATTGCTGACTGATTTGCCAGTTTTGCAATGGATAGAGAAAGTGAGCAACTCATGATCGCCATCTTCCAGCTTCCCTTCAATTCTCAGGTTGCTCACTAGATCATCCCCTTTGGCCAGTACCAGATCCAGGAACACCTTACCTGTTGTTGGCCCGTAGACTTCTTGAGACAAGTAGAGTTTGTCAATGCGTTAAGTCTGATACTGATACTACATGCATCCAGGTTTAACTTCAACAGGTTTCGGGCATTTGAAAGTGGTTTATGTGCACTGAACTTCTATTGTTTTACAGATTTGAAATGGTTCCGATCACTGTTATTTCTGTCCCTAGCCTCTAAGGATATTTGTAGGTGACATTTTAAAGCGGGTTTAAAGCAGGTTACGTGGCTTTTGCGCCACTTTAACGGCATTGTTGTTTGCACATTTGGCAGTGTATTGCATGTTAATTTCAGCTGCTGCAACACAGTCAGCGGCATAATGTGCCATAAAAGACTTTGGGATGCAGCAAATGACTTCGGGGTGCTGCAAAGTAAAACACTTCCAAGGAGTTTTAGTTTCCTACCCTACAGCCATGAAGGGAAGCTCCGGGCTCCGTGTGGCTCAGGGGCTGTGGAGGCAGACCATGCAGGCAAAAAAAAAAAAAAAA